CGTGATCTTCAGCAGGTTCCACCACGCTCTGAACCTCGGCTTCTTTATCTGTAAACAACACAGAGGGGGTGCCTAACTCATGGTAATAAGTAATAAATATTGCTCCCCTTCCCCCATTTCCCCCCCCTTTTTTTTCTGTTCAAATAAAATTATGTAACTAGAACCAAAATTCCTATAGGACCCTGGTTCTCAACTAGGAACTATTTTGCTCCCAGGAGACATTTAACAATGTCTGCAGACACTTCTGATTGTCTCAGCTGGGATTAGGTGAGTATCTAGTGGGTACAGGCCAAGGGTACTGCTGAATACACACCCTGAGATACTCCAGGCAGTTCCCCACAACAGTTATCTTCTCTAAATCCGGGGAGTACTGTTGTCAGGAAGCCCTGCTCTAGCATAATCCTGCTATTGAGGAAATCACCCAAGACTTGTTCTAGCTGATGCTCATCCTCAAGAAAATATTTCCATTTTTGCATTAAGAACAAGAAGGAAGGCCAACGTATGGCCTGGTAGTTATGTGAGCTGGATCCCACACAGCTGACCTCCCAGATCCGGCAGCTTGAGAAACACTGGGTGCTTGTGTGTGTGTGCTCAAAATCCCAAAAAGAGGGAGAAATGAGGAGAAGCATGACTATACCCCATGGGGGTGCTTTCTCACTCCCTCTCTGTCTTTCTCTGTCTCTCTCTCTTCCCCCCACATCCCCAGCAAGCACACCTGTCCTCTGGCAAAATTTTAACAAACAAAAGGAAAGAAAGAAAGAAAAACTCTATTGGGATCATGGCAATTACATGAACACCCAAAACCTTTCCTTAACATAAAAATACATATTAGAATTTTTCTTTTTTCACTAGAGGAATATTTTAGTTAATTAACAACAATCCATGCTCCCTTATTTTTAAGTTTTTTTTTAAATAATAATCTATTACTGCAGTTCATGAAGTTTTATTTTCTTTCCATTTGTCTTCAGTGAGCATTTATTCTGTGCATTTACCTCTCTACTAAATGTCTCACCTAGCCTGAGTTTATTATCTAGTCCCTGGCCCCAAGGAACAACCTCTTTGGAAGTGGATTAATGTATGTGCAACAATTAAGGTACAATACAAGGTAACATATAATTAAGCATTAATGATAGCATCCAGGCCAGGTGGATCAGAGAGAAGGGAGATGAGGCCTTCAGGAAATGTTTATTGAATGAACCAGACAGTGAAAGTTTCTTACACAAGGTAGGACTTGAGGAAGTACAGAAACTCCGTTACAGGATTTTTTTTTCTTTATTCATGATAGAGTGTGAATCATGATAGAGTGTGTATGCACACATGCAACAGATGGAGAGAAAAGGGCAACCTCCATGTCTGGGACTTGAACCACAGTCAACTATGTGGGAGTCCAGCACATATATATTGTATACCACCTACTGGTCTTGGGATACAGTTTCTTCTGAGTAGTGCTTTATCACAGTGCCTTGGAGCCAGGCCTATTGTAGTATTTATACTGCTAGTATTCAAAATGGATACTGCTGCCCTGAGCGTGCATTTTTTTCTTATATCTAGTTCAAACTTTTTAAAAATAATTATTTAATTTTAATTATTATTATTATTATTTAATTTGACTAGAGAGAGAGAGAGAGAGAAAGTGAGACAGCAAACCTTCAGGTCTGGGACTTGAACCGCAGTCAACCATGTAGGAGTCCAGCGCCTCAACTACCATGCTACCCACCAGCCCCTCTAGTTCAAACTTTTAACCAACTCTATATATTTCCTAAGTCAAGTTAACCTTTAAGAAAAACCAAACACACTAACTAGCACTGGACAACAGGAATGCTTGCTAAGTGCAAGTGAGCCAAAAGTCTCCACATCTGAACAGAACTCAGTTTGCTTTGTGTGAGGCTGCGTCCTGCACTCGCAGGCCAGCAAAGACAGATGTGCTCTCCCTGCATATGTAGGACACGTATCTCTTCATCCTGCAAGTAGGTACTTGCACAGTACGCATTCCAGAATTCTGCAAATTAATACAGACTCAGAGAAAATGGCTCATCACAAACATGCAATCCCAAGCACACACGCACCCAGCACCTTCAACACAATCAGGACCCTGTCCTGAATACACACTACACAGAACACACATTGCACGAAGCAAGATGCACTTATAAAAACAGTCATTTTTTTACTTCCAGTTTTCTCTCCCCTTCTCCCCCCACCTCCCCATGAGCTTGCCCTTCCTGGGGGATGTCTCATGTTAAAATGCCCTCTACCTCGCATTTGCCTATACCCTGACCCACTACTAAAATGTAGGTATCTTGGGCCAGCCAGTAGCGTGATGGTTAGGGCAGCTGGATCCCACATGGCTGATTGCACTGTTCAAGTCCCACATCCAGCAGCTTAAAAAATATGACAGATACATGTGCATGCATACCCAACATCTCAAGAGGAAAATGGAGAAGAAGGGATTGTGGCATGGACATCACCCTTGGGGCATGCTTTCTCCCCCACTTCTCTTCCTCCTTCCCTCCCTCTGGTGAATGCACACACTCTATAGCAAAAAAAAAAAAAAAAAAAAAAAAAAAAAAAAAAAAAAAAAAAAAAAAAAAAAAAAGAAAAAAAAGAAAAGAAAGAAAGAGAAATCTTGTATTTCACTTCCATTAAAATAATTCACTCTTTGGAGAGTATCTCCCATTAGCTGGAAGTTAAGCAAAGCAGACTCAGGCCTGAGTCTTTTCTGCCTCATACTTTATGAGAACATGGATTAATGCTAGTTAGGGAGTATGAGCCTGCAGTTGATTCCAGCCTTGTTCTCTGCAATCTGCACTTTATCCTATCCTCTTTCCTTTGCTAAAAACTCCTTGAAGTTGCTCTCTCTTTTTCTCTCTCTCTCTTTGGTTGTTGGGTTTTGCCATAGGGTGTGTGCACTTGCTGGAGAGAGACAGTGAGAGAGAGAGGGAAAGTGAGAAATCGCCCCCCAAGGGGTAGGCCACACCTCAATCCTTCTCATCCATTTTCCTCTTGCAACTTTGGCCACACCTGCACACATGCTCAGTGTGATTTTCAGGCTGCTGGGTCCAGGACTTGAACTGTGCAATCAGCCATGTGGGATCCAGTTGCCTTAACCTCCACACCATGTGCTGGCCCATTTCTTGAAGACTTCTATAATACAACCACAGCACAGCCCATTCAGATCCTTCTGGGTGTGCCTCCCAATTACCTCAGCTCCACTGACCTCTCTGCCTCTAGCCTCTTCGCTTTGCACTCCAGACAGGCCAGACTGGACTTCTGTCCTGTGATCTTTTCTCTGCCTAGAACATTCTCTACCTCATCCTCTCCCCTTTCACCTGTCTACTCCTAGTCATCCTTCAGGGATCAGCTTAGGTAGCATTTTTTTCTGAGAAGCTTTCTCTGGCCTCCAAGGTTGAGGTATCTCTCCTTTGTGTCCAATAGCATCCATAGTTACCCTGAACTCACTGTACCGAAATCTTCATTTTCTTGTCCTAATGCCCAAAAGATTAACCATGTGAGCACAGAGTCCTGTTCAGCATTGCTCAGCCAACGCGAGTGTGTGTAGAATGGCACGTGCCTTGCACGTCCTATGCACTTCAGACATTATCAATGAATTCCACGTTGAATGTTGGGGCTAGGCGAGTTACTCTGTGGTCAAAGCACAGTGCAAGGCTCAGGGGATGCCACGCTACTGAAGCCCTCTCTCAGTGGTGTCGTTAGAGCAGAAGGAGGCCTTCAGGATGAACCGAGTCTGCTGTCAGGAATTCTGAGGTGAAAGTAGATTGCAGGCCTGCCTGGGGCCAATGGCATCTTCGCTCTGATCAGGAGGTGGGCTTTGCATTCCTTTTCAAAGAAAGGATTGACAGGTTGCAAGTAGGTTGTTCCAAGCTTAAGGGTATCCCTGAAGTGGCATGCCGAGATCTGTACAGTGACACTTTTACCCTGACAAGCTCCCACATGTGCAAAGATAGCTACAGACACACCCCGGCAGATAAATGCCCAGATTCATGCCCAGTTCCTCCTCGCTCAGAAACTCTGTGAATTTGAGCAAGAGTCTGTATTCGAAAAGGAGAAAAGTGAGCTGGCTTTGGGAAAATGGAACATAAGGCCCTAGGACTCTGGGTATGAAAGCATGTGAAAGCCTGGGCAGGCTCTCTGTGCACATCTGGTTTTTTCCTTTTATGCTTCTGTGATTTCTATGACACAGGAAATCCATTCTGGAACAACCCTGTCTGCTTTCTAGTGAGTGCATAAAAAATGGGGATTACAATTATGTTTATCTCACTGCTCAGAGCAGGATGATAAAACCCAGAACAGTGCTATGCTGAAGGTGGATCGACTGCAGCTCCATCATATATGCTGCCCCCAGGGAGGTGCTAGTAACTGAGACCAGAGGACTGGAGGGCCAAGACAAAGATTTCTGCACAGGATGACGACTGTCGAGTCAAGGCCCTCACTCTGAAGCCCACCAGGTACCGGAAAACACCACGTGGTGAGCACACCCATTCAACTCCACTGGACCTCTACTATTTGAGGAGTTCCTGATCTCACCAGCAGCCTTCCTCCATTAGACTTCCACATTATAATTTTGGTAGGAATAGTCTTCTAGAAAAGCCCTTGGGACCAGCAGTTGGCATAATGGCTATGTCACTGGACTCCCATGGTTCAAGTACCGGACCTGGCTTAAACTCAGCTGGTACGTGCACAAGATCCCAAGAGGAGAATGGAGGAAAAGGGATTGGAGAATAGAGGAGAAGGGATTGTAGTGTGGCCATCTCCCCCACCCCAAGAGGTGATTTCTCGCTTTCTGTCTCTTTGTTTCTCTCTGTCATTCTGGCAAGCACATGTGCCCTATAGCAAAAACCTCTCCAAAAAAAAAAAAAAAAGGATAAAGCAAAGCCCTAAACATGATCTGAAGCAGATGACATTTCCCACTTACAAAGGCAAGAACACAGAACTATTTAAGAG